AAGGGACCGCGACTTGGAAATCAGTATATTATATTATATTAGATTATATTATATTATACTATATTATATTATATTGTATATATATATATATATTTATATATTCATTATATTATATAATACATCGCATCCATATCACGCCGTGATGCTCTCAGGGGCTCGCATTGTGCAGCCTGCTGACTAAAATGCCTCTGCGACCATCCAACCTGTGGGCATCTTCATTGATGTTCCTTGCAGCCACCGGTTTTGGGGTCCGAGGGCATGGCTTGAGATGTTCTCGCAATGCCACTGGCTCCAGGGACTGGTAGTCGCAACCTCTGCTCAGGAAAACGCTGCGAGTGCCCATGCCCGACATGGTACGCATTATGCAAGTCTGCCATGCGGGCAAAGTCTGTCTGAATGAGGTAATCAGAGCATGTTGAATTTGACGATAACCTTCAAAGCTCAGTCTCAAACCAAGCGAAGGCATTCGCAAACGAATTGTTTGCGTGCTGTCACTGCTCTCCGAACTGTCGCCTGGAGGACATGCCGAGGAAATCTGCAACCCAAGCTGCAATTGAATTTTCGCTGTGGCTGTGGCTGGCGACATCCTCCAGAAATCGCTGAATCACCGGAGATGGAACGGCGTGCCCCTGCGCGGAAGTATCATGTCCGGTAAAGCCCGGCAGAAGTGCCGTCAAGGTGCAAACTTGCCTGGAGCTCGACACCCTTGGCGACCATTTTCTGAAAGGCAACCCCAACAACCTCACAGCAAGATCCACTGACGAGGGAACTACCAGACCTTGTGCTCGATAGAACTTGCCCGAAGAAGGACTCAGCCTAAAGTTGCACTGAGAAGTAGGCGTGTGCTGTGGAAGCATCCACCAGAGGCCCACCGCTATTGCCACCTGATTGCGCTTTCGTCAAACTTGAGGTTGAGTTGTCTCGGACAGGTGAGGTGCAGGCTATTAATGGCTGCATCGACTGTGAGGGCCAGCCTTGACGGACGAGCATACTCTTCGGGCTTCGAGGGGGTTTGCCAGCTGGTCATCTTGCAGGGGTAGGGCACTGGCCCAAACCGCAAAGAGTGCGAGTACTCTTGTACCTGCTGTCCCATGCAAGGCATTCAGAGATGCTTCGGCGCCGGGTGCAGTAGGCAGCCTCCACACGACTGACGACTCCCTCTGTCACACTGCAGGCATCACCACCTTAACGGCTGGGGAAGGGCTCCACAGATATTAGCAGGCAAGGCAACACGGTGAAGGCGACAGTTTGATTAAGATCTCACGGCTCTTCATCTGAAGTCTGAAGGGCAGTGTCTTCGCTCGGAGGTCAGGGATGGACACCAGTGCGCTGAGGCGTTGAGTCGTTGCTTTAAATTTCTGCCGGTGCATGTCAGACAGCCGTCCGATCTGATCCGCCGCCACGATTGATGCCTGCACATCTTGCCAATCGCGTCTTCCCGAGGCTTCAACCGCCGCGTCAAAAGAAGTTCACGATTCTTTTGTAGACCAAGAAGCCCAACGATTTCAACATTTTCCCATCGGCTAGGTAGGAACGAACCACCTGCATGCGTATTCGTGTCTTGCAGTGCATTTGTGCTGTGTTGTTGCCATCGATCTGCACCGCGCTCATCGAAAACTCCCTAGAAGCACTTCAGCTGTCCGGGTTTCCGATGAATGCCGCGCACGCTTCGTGATGAGCCGTACACGTGATGCCAGGATGTTTAACCATAGCTTTCTGCACAGTGAAGTCTTGAACCCCTCTCCTTGATACGATAGCTCGGTCGTTGTCTACTTCCACTAGAGTCGAGCCTCCAACAAGCCCTATGTGCACCAGTATTACTGTAGTCTTATCACCATTTCTGGTAATGTCGTTCTTAGTATATTAATACTTAGTTGGTACTATTGCTATTCTTACTGCTACTGTACTAGTACTATGGTTCATCTTTGGCGCACAGGCCATGTCCTGCTAGCTCGAGTCGCATGCCGTCGGCTCGAGAGACGGAACGGCCATGATGCCATCATGATGCTCTTCTCTTGCTGTTTTCTAACCTGTCTGAGAATCCGACCAACAGGGTAGCCCACAACTCTAACCTGAATCGGCTCGAAGCTGACTGTGCACATATGCTAGTTTCCCTCCGCAGAATGTGCATCTGCAAGAGAACAGGCCTCCGCCTCCAGGCCTTCCCTTGTCCCTGGCACAAAGACTGCCCTGGCACGGGCCTTGTCGAAAACACGCGGCAGCTCCGTAGCCTCAGTAAGGTTAGCTCGGGAAGGTGTGATGTGTCAGTAGATGCCCAAAATCCAAGACACAAACAGATCCCACGATCAAAGGCTCCATCTCCTGCGCCGAACGATGGATAACAAAGCAGGAGTTGCAAAGCAGAGCATCGGAACTGCCATGAAGAATGTCGGCCATTTTGCCTCTGGGAGAAATAGATATGAACTTCCGACTTGGTTTACCAGCATCGTCGCCATGATGTGAGACTGAAACGAATCTAGCTTCGCATTGCCGGTCATTCATCCAACTTCTTCAAGGCTGTCGTCTCAGCATTCACACACGCTCAAGGATGAAGATGCTGGATTGGTTTTTCTGCGTGTCCTTGGAGGCACGGAAGATGCGAAAGTTCTCGTCCGTGTATGTGCATTTCCACTCAACGATTCCCTCTGTTGAGGCTGATATCAAGCCGATGCGAAAGCCGAGGAGAATAGGGTACCAATCCTCCCGGCCCACCACCATACCGAGAGGGCCCCTGGATTTCCAAGACGTGGTCCACTCCATTCGGAACAAGCCCAGCCAGAAAGATGATGTGTTGACCAGCTTTCTCTCCCGCGTGCGAATGACCTGGCGTGCCTCACCGTTCAGAAGGCCGAAAGTACCAGCATTCAAACTATTGGAAGAGCTAAAGAGCACCTTCCACTCTCCTTCGAGATCACCTGAATCTGCTGCGAAAGTAATTGAGTTCAATTCCTCCATCTCGGACACCGCGTCCTCGATCTGCAAGAAAAAGGCCGGATCCATCAACCAACCTTGACCTTCAGGCACTTGCTGAGCAATTTCTTTGACAGCCTGCTTACGTTCTTCCACAAGCTTTGGATCAGCTTTTTGTTTGCGAGCCGGCGTCGGAGCTCGCCTCGCTCGGGTTTTTGCTGCAGCAAGCTGGCAGGCGGACGGGTTCCGCCGCCTTGTTGTGCAAAATGCTAAGGTGCCCACAGCTATAGCTGCTGCTGCGGAGCGGTGCTGCAGCCTCTCTGGAATGAGACTCCGGGGACGGCATGCTGCGGACAGCGCTGGAGTACCAAGGAACTTGTTGAATCTGCTCGCCGTGCTTGCCGAGCAAGGGGCTGGCAGCGCCGGATATTGCTGCATGGCTCCCAACCACGATCTATGACGGTGGCGCCGCTTCACAGCCTCTAACGGCTACGTGTGATGAGTAGTTGCACTGCTGCCCCAGTCCAGTATGAAACAAAACGCACGACAAGGATGCTGCACTATCCAAAGAGGAGCACTCCTCCAACACGACGTCTTCCTCCAATGTCAGCCTGTCTGATCGAATTGACGGGCTGTAGGGCAACAACTCATCGACGGGACCAACACTACAATGACAATCACCGCGAGGGGCACAAGGCCAGGTCGATCTCATGGCAAACAGCAGCCACATGAGCACCTCGTGTTCATTAAAGCAGAAACCTGACAAAGAGCGCAGAGCCCCCGGAAACTACTCTCTTGGGCCCTTTAAGGACATGTTTCCTCACAGCTCACTGCGACACGCCCTCACATGTATGGGGCATGCGCTCACCGGGCTTACCACCTAGCACGCCACAGAGCTGCAAGAAGTCTCTCTTGTCAGGCTTAAGGCCGGGACGGAACTTCTCACCACTGTAGCGATCGTTCGTGCGCTGCACCTGCAACGCAAAGTCTCCTTGTCGGGCACAACTCAAGCGGACCCTGGACCCAGCAGGACTAGAATGCCTGCCTGCAAATACCTGCTGTCCGCAATTACGTGTGCAGCGGTTAGAACCTGAGCATGGTCTGTGGACGTGATCTCGTAACGTCCCTCACCCTCTGAAGAACTTTAAACTTAACAACATGAGATCAAGGCAAATCCATCTCAGCGCGGCTTTTGCGAAACGTTGCGTACAAAAGCTGCGGTTTTTGGCTCCCGCATGGCAGCCTACGAAGATTCCGCTTGGCAGGTCACCACCCAAACGAAAGACACACGTCAAACTAAAAAGCCCTGGGAAGACAAGCTTGTTTGGCATGGGCTGCCGATGTTGCTCCCGTTAAGTTTTCTGGAAATGCCCGTGTACTCGGACACTCGCACATTGCCTGCTGTAGCCTTTGCGCATTGTGTCCTGGTCCGACAGTCTTACTTGCTACATCATCAAATCACAGAACACTTGCCGACAGGAGCCAGCTGCCAGCCACAACGCCGATCACACACTTCCCAACTATAGGAAAGGACCAAAGACCTTCATGCTAGTCTTGGACTATGTGACTATGAGGGGTTCTGCGACCAAGTACATCACACGTTGTGTATAACTAAAGCCAATTGAAGCGTCCGGCATCACTCTTCGAGCTTTTTCATCTCAGACGCCGGCTGCATGACGTGGGACTCCACCATTTATGCCTAAAGCACAATCTCCGCATGGCTTTCATGCTTGGCTCGTGGAAGAGTGGAAGGCGGGTGTCTGCAATCCGCGACAATTTGCTTGCATGGTCCTTCTCTCAGCTTCCGGCTTGCACGGATCACCGCACCAGAGCCTCAACCGCTCCAAGGAACAACTGAAGAACCAAACGCCACCACCCCAAATCCCTGGCTGGTGCTGCCTGATGTACTTTCAACTGGCTGATCCTCGCGGCGTCAACAAAGCGCACACACAAAAAGTATTCCAGGCAAACAGTTGATGCAGGGAAGGA